ATGTAATTTACCACATCAGTAAAAGATACAAAGATCATATAAAAAACACTTGTTAAGATTCAACATTCATCTAGGATTAAAAATCTCAAAATAACTGGGTATCGATGGATTATACTACAACACAATAAAGACCATATATGACAACCCCAAGCTAGTATAATTCCCAACAGTGAAAAACCGAGAGTTTTCTACTAAGATCTGGATTAAGACAAGGATGTCCACTTTCATCACTACTATACTCCATATAGTATTGGAAATCCTAGCTAGAGCAATTAGGCAAGAGAAGGATGTAAAAGAAAATTAGGGTAGAAGAAGTAAAGCTATCATGATTTGTAGATAACAATATACACAGAGAACTATAAAAACTCTGAACAACTAATTGAAAGAATAGATCAGTTTAGCAAGTGTCAAGCTACAAAAGCAATACACAGTTACCTTCCTATATGCAAACAATGAGCTACAAGAGGAAGAAAATAAGAAAGCAATCCCATTCACAGTAACACCAAAAAATTATTAAATACCTAGGAATAAATTAGAAGAGTTGAAAGGCCTAAATAAGAGAACTATAAAACACTGTTAAAAAGAAACAGACACAAAGAAATGTAAAGCTATCCCTTGTTAATAATTAGAAGAATCAACATTGTCAAAATGCATCCTACACAAAGGAATATAAAAGTCTATAGAATTTCTATCAAAGTCTCAGTAGCATCCTCAAAGAAACAGAACAAACATTACTGAAATTTACACAGAACTGAAAAAGTCCTCAAATAGTCAAAACAATCCTAACAAAAAAGGGGAAGAATAACAGTATCACACACCCAGAGTTTAAAATATGTTACAAAGCCACAAAAATTAAAACATGCGGCTGGAATAAAAACAGACATACAAGAGCAAAGGAATAATATTGAGAGACCAGAAATAAATCCATATCTGTATGGGTTACAGTGGAATTTGGGACAGGAATGGCCTGTGGGTACTTTGGTGGTGGCTGTAGTATAGTAACAACACCTGAAGGTTGTTACCTGCACCTCTAAAACACAAATAACTATGTAAACCAGTATTAACCTCAATTAAAAATTGTACCTCTCTATCTCTCTCTGTGTATATATAGGTACACACATAAAAATTAAGTTATTGATAATTTTCTCAACTATTTGGGAGTATGAACAATAGAAGAGAGCAGCTATTATAAACATCATCCATTTGGGAATAGCTTGTACATACCTCGCATTCTATTTCATTAGGTGTCTTCAAGTCGTCTTCTTTGCTTATGATCTTCTGCAGCTAAAAAAGATTATAAACATATAGTAAGATGTTTATCTATTGGATTTTTCAAGCAAACCTAAAAGACAGATGCCAAGTTTTTATTATAAAATGTTTATTGTCTTTTTTGCAATACAACATCTAACATATTTTTTTTACTAAATTATATAAGAATAAAAGGAGAAATAGATATACAAGCATTAATGTTTATCACCATATTTTGGTCTCCTAAAAAGCTGCCTTATTTAACATGTATCATAAAGGTATCACTCTACTGAATCATGATTTTTACCTTAGTTCTACTTGCAAGAGAATTTTTACTCATAACTAATTTCATGTATCACAGATAACTTACACTTATTTTTACACTGCATCCTGGAATAACCAGAGCTATTTAAAAAGTGTTCTCCCTTTTTGCTTTATGTATTTGTAAAGCATTAACAGAGTTTAGACCTACAGTTCAGTTAATTATAAAATTGTCAACAGTAACTCAAGACTGCGTATATTAAAAAAAACCTACCTTACCTTTCAAAGCCATATATATCAATCCTCATGTGATAGCAAATGAAAAAAAAAAAAGTTTAAGAAAAATCAAATGGCAAAATCTCAGACTACAGATCAATTAGGAGATAAACCTTTACCATTTTCATCTAGGCAATTTTTTGGTTAACAAGTTATTTCTTTGAAAACTGCTGCGATTAAATTCCAAATTAATTATCTCAAATTGCTACTTTCATTAGGTTTGTTTCAGGCAAATGGTTTATCTTTAGTTCTCTCCCACTCTACATTTCAACTCCTACCTCCCCCATACTTATTCTAGGACATCTCTCCCTTAGTTTACTACATCTCCTTTAAAAATGTTTTTATTAAGTAAAATTTCAAATGTAGCAAGTAAAGGAATTCTGTAATAACTAATCATATACATATTATTCAGCTACAACAATTATTGGTATTCAAGATTCATGTATACTTTTATTGACTTCCTGTTCTCTTCTTAATCTGTAGCTCTCAGGAAAAACTTATATACACTGAAATATACAAATGTTGGCCATACAATTTTGACAAATGGATATACCTGATCAACCATATTCCTTTTAGAAATTAGAACAAGTTTTTGTATTTCTTCCTAGGTCATTCCTTTCTTTCCGTATCCCCCTACTGAAGCTGAATTCCAGTCCACCCCACTACCTAATTTAGTTATAGTTATTTAGAAATCCAAATATGTGATATTAAAATAGAATTTATTATTTTGGTGCTACCTTGTTCTTGTCTCCACCCTATCCCCCCAAGACCATGGCCTTGACCAACTATATAAGGATCTGTTTTAATGCTTGTGGAAGGAGAAAAGATATTTTTTAAAATTACAGGATCCAGCTACCTTGCCAATTCTGTTATGAAAAAAATAGTGATTCTGTACAAAATAGTATTATCATATTGTGAATTTACAGGAATCATAATTTTGAAAATTAATGTCTGCCAAGTGGTGATGGTTCAAGTCCCTCAATTTTCTCCCAACTTTATGAGTCTAAGGGAACTCAATTCACTCAAGGGCAAAGAACTGGAGCATGGGTACACTGGACACCTCAGTCAAGTGCATCTCATCCCCATCTCACCTCCCTGGTACAGTCACAAAACCTCTGGATATCTGTGAGAGTAGAAAAGTGGCACAATGCCTACAAGTGTGGGTTCTGGTGTCCAATAGTGCTTCTGCCAAACTCCACTCTTCTGTTTTTACCAGTATGACTATCCCTCAGCTTCTCAACCTCCAAACTTGTTTCCTCACCAACAGAAATAACAATAACTGAAAGTTCTTAAGGTTTCTTCTGTGTGCTAGGGCCATGGTTCCAAAATTCCCTCCTGTAGGAATCACTTAATGGTGACAACAAAATCTCTCTCCAGGGGTGAAAATGAGGAATAAATAAAAATTTATTCCAGTACCCTAACTCCACCTGCAGTTAAGCTCAATAAATGCTAGCTTAAGTTTCCAACTATAAGACACTATATACTTAATTTTCTAATATAATGATGATGGTAATAATTACATTTTTAAAAAAGTTTTATTTTTATTTATTCATGTATTCAAGAGCTGGGTTCTAGGCCAGAGGTGAATGGGGTGAGAGAATTCACCAAAGACAGAGCAAGGAGAACAACAGGTGAATAGACTGACATGCTCTGCTAAGGGGAGCAACAGGCAAGATAGGAGAGGTATCTGTGGCATTTGGATTAGCTCCCTGGCCAGGGATCGAACTCAGGCCCCAATGGCTGTCAACAGCTTGATAAAACTGAAATTTTAACCCTGTGCCACTAGGGAGGCTCCAATAGTAATAATAGTAATAAAAATATATGTAAACAGTTTTTCTGGCTCTATGTTGCAATTTTAAATAGACATACTGTTCCACAGGTTATCAAGCTTAGTATTTTTTTCTAAGGTCAGCACAAAGTACCATTTATAAACTTGGATTTATATACTACACATTCTCCTCCAGATAACTTCTCAACATTCTATATGTATATACCTAATTTTTGTAAGATCCCAGTTTTATAATTTTTCCTTTATTTGGAACTTTTTTGTGGTGTCTTTTGTTTCTACTCTTTGAGATAGTTACCTATTTATGAAACCAATAGTATAGACCCTTGTCAAAAGGATTTGCTGAGATATATACACACAATAAAATGTACCTGTTTAAAGTATACAGCTTAATGAGTTTTGGCAAATTTGTATACAATATGTAAATATGTAACTACAATCTAAATAAAATTTTTCACTCCAGAAAGTTCCTTCATGTATTTTGCAGTCAATTCCTCACTCTCTCCAATCACTATACATTTCCAAAAACAGCATTCCCTTTTCTACACACCTTTGTCAGCACTTGCTGTTTCTGGTCTTTTTCATATATAGATCATTCTCACAGGTGTGAGGTAGTGACCTCACTGTCGTTTGGATTTGCATTTCCTTGACGATAGGTGATGTTAAACATTTCTTCATGTGTCTGTAGGTCAACTGTATGTCTTCTTTGGAGACGTGCATAATTATCTCCTCTACCCATTTTTTTTTTTTTACTGTTTCCCCTATTCTGCATAAATGTTGAAGTTTTTATTTTTCTTTTTTTTTTTTTGAGGAGGAGCAGGTGGAGGGCATAAGAAAAAATTTCCACTTATCTAGGAACATATTTATATTGTATTATCATTAGTTAAATCATTAAAAAATATGAAATATTAAAGGTGTTTAAGCTTATTTCTCCTTTTGAATTTTTTTTTTTAAGATTTATTTGTCTATACAGGCTAGAGGGTAGGTGCAGTGAGTGGATTCACCAGAGACAGAGTGGGGAGCAGAACAGGCAGATCGTGTAAGTACACTGCTGAGGGGATCAGCAGGCGGGTCAGGAGAGGTCTGCCCTGCCATGTGTGCCAAGTCCTCTGGGGCGGGGATTGAACTCATACTGAAGTGGCTTTAGCTTCTTAGTGCTGTGCTTTAACCCAATGCGCCACCAGGGAGGGACCTCCTTTTGGAATCTAAGGCACCCTCTCTTAACAGTTTCCTTAAGGTTGTCAAATAAAAAATTTTATTTTTAAATGTATACATGAGTTCTTGAAATTTTGTATATAAGCAGTGGATATAATTTCAATTTTTATGGAAATATGTAAGATATATAGAAATATATAATTATCATACAGGTTCCATTGTTATAAAACAAAAATAACTAGAATCTACTTACCTTAAAAAATTCCTTTTTTTCGACCATTTCATCACCATCTGCATCCAGCATTTTAAAAGCAACATGAAACCCAGAATGAGGTTCTGTAATCAAGTAAAGATGAACAATTTAAATGCAAGTTGTTTGCAGATCTACAATCTTCAAATTTTGAAATAAGCCTCCAGACATTGAGTAATGTCTGAACTGAGAAAAAAATCTCTTATAACAATCTTCAAAGGGCGGTATAGTCACAATAATATAATGTTCTGCTATTAAGTGTTCTGACCTTCAAACCAAAATAAATCTGAGAACTTAATTTCTTTAGCTCTACTAGGAACTTCCTGTAGTTTTTATACCTTGGTCATTTTATATTGATTATTAGTTTTTATTTCCCTTCCTCAGAGTAAGACTTAAAATAAATTTTTAATTTTGAAATAATTTTAGATTTATAGAAGTGTTATGAAGATAGTATACAGGTTCTCATATACTTACTACCCAGCTTTCTCTAATGACAGGCCTATCTTATATAACCACAGTACTTGTACCAAAACTAAAGAATTAACATTGGCATAGCATTATTAACTAAATTATGGACTATTTGGATTTGATGGTTTTCCTCTACCACTGTTATTCAATTCTAGAATGAAATACAAAAAACTATGCTGCATGGAGTTGTTATGTTTCCTTAGCCTCCTTGCTTTTCATGACACTGAATTTGAAAATTTTGTAAACTATTAAGTCAGAGTTCTTAAATATTCCTAAATGAAGGCTAACTCTGGTTCTTCTGTTCATCAAACATTTTACTTTAAAAGAGGAAGTTATAGAGCTCCTATACTTCAAAGTGGGAAGGGGGGGGGGGAAGAAAAGACCCAAAGAGATAATTTAACACTACAGTTTTATAGATATATATAAATTAAGCCACCAACAATATTTTAATAACAAACACACAGATACCAGACTTTCAAAATCTTCTTTGATAAGAGCCGAGAATTCCACATGACCTTTGAGAAAAATTACCAGATACTTACTAGTGAGGATTGTAAGCAAGAAAAGATACTCAGTATATGAAATCAGTCCTAAAAGAGAGAAAATAAAATATCAGAAAATATCTTAGAATATAGATATAGATACTCTCTATATAGATACTCTATATCAAAAACATCTGATAAGACACATCCACATTTCATTTTAAATTACCTCTCTTTGGTACAGAGGAAAACTTTTATAATAGAGAGCTGAAGTATAGTACTGATATTAAAAAAAAAAAGGGTTATTGGTTTCTTTTCCTTATTAGGGAGGGGGGAATGGGTGCTGAGCAGCAAATAATAGGTATCCAATATATAGCACTTAACATAATTTCTACTCAAAATTTACTATTCTTATTATATCAAGTGAAACAAACTTATAAATTCACTGTAACAACAGATTTGGATATCCAAAACTCTCTGTAGCAGTAATCTGATTTTCAGATTTGGAAATATAAAAATTCAAATACTATCATTTATAATGAAATAATCTAATCTCTATGGCAGTAACTTAATTTTCTTTGGGAAGCCAATCTTTCTCCATTCTTAAACATGTAGTTTAGATAGGATGATCCATCTTCACTTTTGGTGGTAGATGCTGACTATAATAGGAAAATAATTCCTGTACAATGGGAAAGTACCTTCACAAAAGTTTAAAAATTCTCTTGTTCCCTATATTTCAAGTATTTTTAAATCTACAGTCCTACATTCTCATTCTTCACCTGCCCTCTTAATTGTTCAAGAAGTCTGGTTATTTATCCTGTAAAGTTTATTGTAGTCTTAGGTATTTTGTGACTGCATCTACTCTGTGTCATTTTACATGCTCCCCTAGCTTCTCTTGTTCTAGTTTTTAGAACAAGAGGCACCCAGATCCAAGTCTGATTTTTGCAAGAACTCTTTAATAGATGGTGCTCTATTAGGAGGCCAAAATGCAAATGTTTACAGAAAATGCTCAATACCACTGAGGGATATGAATGTAAGAGTTACAGAATACAGTAAAAGATGAAATAATTTCCACGGTTTAGGTGATCAGACAGGTATGTCATAGAGGCAGTAAATCAAAAAATGGTAAACATTTTAAGATGGAATGCTGTAAGTGGGAAGCCTAGAAGATAGAGGAGGCTGAATATGAAACTTAAAAAAGTGGTTGCCTGAAATAATGCTCATATGAATAACAGGGAAAAAATGTGAAAAGGGAGAAGGCAGTGAGTATTTATCCTTCTATGTAGATGACTATTTCCTAACAGCTCTCAATCAAAACAGAATCTCAGGGTGAAAAATAGTTCAGACCAAAGCAGGTAAGGATTTCATATCTAGGTAATTTAGTGTTTTAGATATGAGGGACATCAGGTTTATGTTATTTATTACTGTGTACAAGAACTAGGTCAGAGGTGCAGGGTGTGAGAGGATTCATCGGAGACAGAATGGGGACCAGAACAGGCAGATTTAGTGAAGTATACTCTAAGGGGAGCAGTGGGCCAGACAGGAGAGGTCAGCTGTTCCAATATGTAGGTAGCTCCCTGACTATGAACTGAATGCAGGCCACAGCAGTTGTATATTTTAAATGCTTTTAGTGACTTACAATTTCTTTTTTGCATTACTAGCTTTTTAATCATTTTTATTTTGGAGCAGATGTATTTTTCTTTAATGAAAATGCCTACAGTTTTCTGATTTTTTTCCTTAAAAAATTCATTGTTGATATGAAGCAAGAATAAATTAAATGTGTTTTGTCATATCTTGTACTTGAGAGAAGTGCTCCAATGTTAGTTGAAGGATCAAAATATTTCACCCCTTAGCAGACTCAAAAAAGTGTAGAACAGATTTTCTCCTGATTTCCAAAGGAATATGGTGATGTGGAAACATGGCCAACTAGCTTGACTGAACTTGGCTTGGTGCTAAAAAGACATTTCACTTCTCTTTTCTCTATAGGCAAAGGTACATGTCCTCTACACCAAGAGAACTTCTTGAAAAAGAAAATTCCAATGTCTTTCCTGAAATAGTGACATAAATTAAAACTTAAATAAATTGAATGGAGACTAAAAATAGCACCCTACTTTCTTAAGATAGGTTATGAACAATATAGCTCTAAATCACATTTTAGGCATCTGTCCTCTGAAAATGATTTTACAGGAAACTGACATTTATAGGATATTTATAGAAGAAACAGTTCAATGCATATTTACTACATTTAATTGTAAGATAAGCACTGTTAAATGGCAGTATCTCAAAATGGCATGTCAAATAGCAAGGTATTTTACTTTATATTAAAAATTTGTCAAAGAATCAAAGGGATACTTAAAGAGATGATTACTTCTGTTACTATGCTTCTCTAGAAATATTTAAAATTTGGAATCATTCTAAAACAGAAAACTTGAAGCTAAATACAATTTTGTGAAGCCTATTTCCCCAAGAGAAATTATACAGCTATCATATTTGTGTATGTCAATATGTATTATTTATATTTAGTACATCCTTGAGGATGTTATTATATTGAGAATTATGGGCAGCTGAAAAGTCCATAAACTTGTAACTTATAATTTACCTTTCAATTTACCTTTCTTTACAATAATGCATGATAGATGACCGTTTTCTTATTTCAAGAATATATTACCTTTAGCTGGTTATAATACATTATAAATTTTGATAGTTTTTTTTTTATATGGGGAAGAAGGGATATTTTGTTTTAAATGTACCTATATTTTACATTCTTTTCTGCAAATGAATTCATGAATATCAATAAAGATGTATATATGAAAACCTGTCGAATATTTCTATGTAGTATTCACATTAGTGTTTTAAGTTTTTAATTTTTTTATAGTTTATTTTTACATCATTTGTACATTTTTTTCCCATCTCAATTGTAATCCCATCACTCCTGTGCACTTCCCTTCCTCTTTCTCTTTCTGGCTTATCTCACTAAGCATGCTCTTTTCCAGCTCCATCCAAGTTGCTGCAAAAGACATGTGTTTCTTTTTTTTGGTTGCTGAGTAATATTCCATTGTATATATGTACCACAACCTTTTAATCCACTCATCTACTTTTGGGCATTTTTTTTAAAGTTTTAAATGTATATTTCAACACATGTATTTTAGAAAAAATAAAAAAACTGCAGTTAAATCTTGTTTCCTGTAAGATTTCTAGAGATAGGGGAGAAGAAAGGTCCAACTCACTAAATAATTAGGAGGAAAAATTAGACTCTGATTCCATATAAAGAAGAGAGAGGCAAACAGAGAAAGGTTAAAAAAGATTTCCTGGGTTTGGTGAGCAGATTATAAGTATTTCTAGTGAGGAGATACAGCTGGGCTGGAATAACTGAAAAGGTATATGAGAGCCATCAGTAAGGTAGATGCTTTTTTTTTTTATTACAAAAGTTTATTTTTACATCATTTTGTACATTTTTTTTTCCATCTCAATTGTAATCCCCGCGAGCTTCCCATCACCAAGTCACCCATGTGCTATCAGTAAGGTAGATGCTTTTTTTTTTTTTTTTAAAGATTTATTTGTGCACACAGAACTGGGGAACAGGCCAGAGGCTCAGGGGCAGTGAGAGGCTTCACCAGAGACAGAGTGAGGAACAGAACAGGCAGATCAACGAAGTACACTGCTGAGGGGAGCAGTGGGTGGGTCAGGAGAGGTCTGCCACACCATGTGGTCACCTCCGGGGCAGGAGGGAATCGAACTCATGTGGAAGCGGCTTTTAGATTCTCAGTGTTGTGCTTTAACCCACTGCGCCACCAGGGAGGGCCAAGGTAGATGCTTTTAACCAAAGAAGTTAAAAGAGTAAATGAAGGACAGAATCCTAATAAGAACAAATGTTGAATGGGCAGGAAGAGCAAAGAGGTACAAAGACAACTAGGACAATGTGGTTTTACAGAATTCAAAAGAATTTGTGGCACATGGATTTGCCTAAAAAGAAAAGAGATCTTTTACTGATGCTTCCTTATAACTTCTACTAATTTAATAATCAACTTCATGATTATTACTATGATTAACTTCACAGCATAGCATACATGACATTAGATATGTTTTTATAGTCTCATGTAGGGCAGGGCAAGTTCAAAAATTGTATATTGTGGTCAAAGCTGACACGGGTCAGATTTATTCACTTGAATTAACTATAATTTTACAGCTAACAGATTCTGAAATAACTATATATAAACATATATAATGATAACATATTCAATTAATTCATCTTAAATAACACCTAGTTCAGGCAAAGGAAAAATACACCCTAATTACAAGTCATCAAGCATTAATTTTTAATAAAATGGTCATTATGAAGTAGAAATTTCAACTGTATATCTTAGAAACAGTTTATATCACAGGAAGTATTTTAGTAAAAAATAAAAATTTACTTAATTTCAAGTTTCTGTGTTGATTAAAAGTTGATGTATTCTTTCTAAAATCCATGACTGCATTACCACTGAGTGAATTTAATTATAAAGTAAGACCAACTACTCCTATCTGGGAAGATCAATATAAATTATTGAAAATGTTGAACTGCAAAGTATTTTTTGAAATGTGTAGCGTTCGTACTTTCAATATATACAGACAAGTAAAACCGCATAGCAAAAATTCTCATGGGACTCAATGTAGTGCAGAATTCATAATGAGCATGTGACAGAATTACTTTGAGATAAGCATTTATTATGTGCTAGAGTATATTATGAGTCAGCTGTCAGGTAACTGGGAATAACAAAATAAACAAAATTTCTCCTTAGATAATCTATGTTTTAATTAGAAACGACGAGAGAGTACAATATAACAAACTGCAAAAACCTGCTGGCGGTTTCAGAGATCACTTTCATTGGTAAGGCAGTTGATGGACAGAAAGTTTTTTAGGAGGAAATGGGAATTAAAAGTTAAATAGGCAGCACTTACAATAATACTGATGATTGGGAAGGTTAGTGCAGGGGATGAAACTGTAGAAGAACTTTTTACATAGAAGTGAAGAGTACTTCTAATGTCACTGAAAATGGGTTTTACTTATATTTCAGATTAATATATCTCAAATATTTTTTCTTAAAATCACTTAAACTTCCTCTTTTCAGTTTTTACTTATGTATTTGCCTTGAATATAATTTCAGTATATTTTCCTACTTACATTAGATTTGTACTACTTTAACTCCCTTTTCTTATATTTTCCGCTTTTTTATATTTCCCTCTTCTCACCAGAAATATATTCAAGTCTCTTCATCAAAAATAAATTTTTGTTTTAACTCCCAGGGACTACCCTCTCATTCATTTTGCTCACACAACTGTCTGACAAGTGGTCTGCACTTTTCTCACTTCTCAGTCTCCTGTAACTCAACGTCAGATGCCATTTGACAACTGACACTGCACTTGGAAAACGTCAAAACACTTTCTTCCTGCTAAACCTAATGAACATTTTTCTGACCTTAGTTTACTCAATCAACTTGATTTTTATAGATTTGATAATTCCCTTACTATTGTTTCCGTTGGCTTCTGTGATTAACTTTACTTCTAAAATCACTCTGTTTTAGTCACTTTTATAGTATATCTTCCTTTTCTAATCCATTAAATGTATTCCTCTGGTTACTCTTTGAAGTCTTCTCTTCTTACTGTAGATACGTTGTATTATTCCCCCTCTGCAGTTTTTAATTAAAAATGATATTTTAGGCCCTCCCTGGTGGTGCAGCGGGTTAAAACACTACACTAAGAAGCTGAAACCACTTCCGCATGAGTTCGATTCCCGCCTGCCCCGGAGGTGACCACATGGCGTGGCAGACCTCTCCTGTCTGGCCTGCTGTTCCCCTCAGCAGTGTACTGCATCCATCTGCCTGTTCTGCTCTCTATTCTGTCTCTGGGGAAGCCTCTCACCACCCCTGAGCCTCTGGCCTGTACCCCAGTTCTGTATGAATAAATATAAATCTTAAAAAAAATAAAAAAAAAAGATTTTACTAATTTATCTGTAATTACTTAAAGTTTTAGTTATTTCCTACACTATGAATACTGTACTATGATTTAAAAACACATATTATGTAGCATGTTTTATACTATTTGCTACACAATTCTCTGCATTTTCTAACAAACAGTTAAGTCTCAGCTCCTTAGTTACACTTCAGCTGAATTAAGAAAGTTAACAACTAATCAAAATTACCTTTATCTCCAAGGTCTCTAAAAAAGGTTGTTCCACCACTGGATTTCGGGATTCCTGCCAGTACAGCATCGATATCCTTTGAATACATATATTAAAAATTTTCAATTTAACTTATTAAAGTTCATTTTCTACCACAAAAAAGAAATCCTCACACACTGCTTACCTTTTTTGTCAACTTCTTGACTGACGTTTTACCTATAGCAAAGAAACATTATTTAGTAGTTCTTCTTCTAGGTAAAACTCAACTTCTACTAAGAAAGAAAACTATTTAAAAGAAATAATAAACAACTAAATACTTGTATGTATATTGAGCAATTTTAGCCATAATCTTTATTTAGTTTTTTTAAGCTAATAACTTTAAAGCAGTTATAACCCAGAGAATTTTAAGTGCAAATGCCAAAAACGTTGCAGTTCTTTGAAAGATCTAATTTCAGTTTCTTGTGCCCTATTTCCGACATATGAAATCTTATAATCTTTGATTTACTTTAGTTGTCTGCAGTGTACATAAATTCTTGTCAAGCAGAATTTCTTTCTTCATGTGATAAATCTCTTTCTGCTTTCACCAATTAAAAATTTACAAGTTCACATTTCAGAAAACTACTTTTTTAAGTCCTAAGAGGCTTTTTTAAACTTATAGTTCTATCAAATTTAAAAGGCTTGCCAAAAAATTGTGCATTCTAAAGTGATTATACCTTTAATACTTTCCCATTGGATAAGAGAGATTTAAGATCCTTTCAGGCTTTCAGTTGTTTATTATAATGATTTCAATTTTTATTTATTTCCCCCAACCCTTATCTCTGTGTCTCTTTGCCTCCTGCACCCCTCCATTAACCTCAGAACCCTCAGGATATTTACTGATGTAGTGTCAGAAAGTGTTTTACATTACTTAATTTTCTACTATATGAATGTCTATGTTTTTAATCTTTGACATATTTTTTGTGCTAATTCTCTCAAATTCCTTTCATTTTGTTGAAACTGGCTACATTTTTATCCTTCCTTACAGTGATATAACATTGCATGGTGTGTATATTACCACAGCTTGATTCATATGTCTGCTAAAGGAGATGTAGGCGGCTTCCATGCCCTAGCTATTGCAAATAATGCCATTGTAAAACACATGGTTTTTGCTGTTGTTGATCATTTCATATTCCATAGATATATAACCAGCGTGGGATTGCTGGGTCACATGGTATTTCTATTTTTATTTTTTAAGGTAAATCCAGATTGTTTTCCATAATGGTTTCACCAGTTCTCATGCCTACCAACAGTGTAATAGGTTTCCTTTTGGCACATGTCTGTGCCTCGATATTCACTGCTCTGTTGCTTTATAGTAATTGCTTTTATATTTCTTAACATGCAGCCTAGTGTTGACAAATTATTTTAGTTTTGTTTTTCAGTTAAGCTCTTTACTCTCCCTTCTATCGTGATTCTTAATCTTGATGGGTACAGGACACCTGGATGGAAATCTTTTCTTTTCGTGTTTTGATTCCTTTCATTCCCTTCATGTTTGTAATGTTTGTGCTGAAAAAATTTGACAGTCTGATTCCCTTATAAGTGACCCCTTTTGTAGAGAAAATGGAGTAACTCAGGCTTATTCTGCTTGAGATCATGAGACACTGAAGGTGAGAGAGAGAAGAGAAGCCAGAGAGAGGTTATAGAGATGGTGAAGTCTGGGAGGCTCTTACTGCCCTGCTTGCTCACCTGTGAGTCTAGTACCTTGATTCAGCATTAAAGGCAAGTCAGCGATATCAAAGGTTCTGAAATTCTTTCTGTTTGACCAAATCAACAATGAATTTCCTGGCCCTGTGCTTGGTTTGCCCAGACACCTTTTCCTCTTGATAGTTTTATAATATTCTGTCCTTCTCAAAGGTTTCAACAGACTTATTATTATTGTATCTTGATAGAGGTCTGTCTGATATTGTTTTATTTGGAACTCTTCGGGCCCCTTAAATCATAACTTTCTTAGATGTGGTACAGGGTAGGGAGAGGGCACCACTGAACTCCCAAACCTGCCTGCTCTAAAAAGGTTCTGCCACCCACTGCATGAAGACAAAACATGTAAGACTTCAATGAAAAGGAACTTTAATACAGTGAGTATATAATACAGAAGACAAAGAATATAATTTCTAAATCACACACCTGAAGTTACCCATCCCCTCGTGGGCAAAAATTAAACCAAAAGGGATTGGTCCAAAGCAAGGCCTGAAAGCTGCCACAAGTCTAAAGCACCTTCTGGCTGGGACCCATAGAAAAGGGTCAAAAATGGCCAGACAAGTCTGGGAGGATAAGAGCAAAATCAAAATTAATATAAACACTGCCATAGTCACCTCTCCACAGGTATCTCACCCACATCTGCCTTAACCAGTCCAGGGTCAAGAAACAAGCAGTTTCTTCATCACATGCTTGCTGCCCCACGTGGCTTCCTCAAGTCTCCTTCTCCAATCCATCCTGCTTCCTTTCTCCTCAGATTCTTCTCTTCTTTGTTTTTTTCTCTCCTCAGCTCCACCCTCCTTATGGGTGAGGCAGGAATCTGGAACTTTCCCTTTTCCTAGGGACCACCCAGTTACAGATGGAAGTGCTTTCAGTGATTATTTCTTTAAATAGATTTCCTATGCTTTTCTCTTTTTCTTCTCCAAGTGATGTCCCTTTGATATGGATATTATTTCTCTTTAAGTTGTCCGAGAGAGCAGTTACATCTTTTTCATTTTTTTAAAAAAAATTCTTTTTTCCAGATCATGCTTAGTGAGATAAGCCAGAAAGAGAAAGAAAAATACCGGATGGTTTCACTCATAGCAGGAGTATAACGGACCAGGTGAGAAAATAACAAAAATAATGAACAACCATATACCGGAGCCATTTTGTGGGGGAGGAGTGGGGAATGGGATCAAAAACGGGGGGGGGGGGAATGCACGGGATTATGGTGATGGCACACGGGTGATTTGGTGATGGGAAACACGCGGGGATTACAATCACCTCCAGTGGACTCAGGAATTTAACTTCCTGTTATGAATTATTTCTTTGGGGTGGAGGGTAGCAGGTATTGTGGATCTCTCAATCTGAGGCTGGGGATGACAGGTATTTTAGCTATTTCAATATGGGCTTCAGTTGTAACCTCTTCTAGAGGCAAGTTCAAAGGCCCTGACCCAATTCAAGCTATACCTACTCTTTGTATGAGTCTTAGATTCAAGCCAGCAGTTCTTTCTGTGTGCTGGTACCTCTGCAGCTCTCCTTTTATATTCAGTGCAATGCCAAGTCCTGGGAGTCCCTAAATTCACAAGTGACTGAATCAATAGCTGTAGGGAGTTCTGGATTGCAACCCCTCCTCCTTCTTTGTGGGTTGTAAAGTCCCAATCTCACTTCAAACAGAGCTTACTTTCAGGTTTTCCTGTCCTGTACAGTTAGGCTGATGCTCCTATTGTGTATGGTGGTAGTCAGTCCCCCTTCCCTTCCCCCTTCCCCAACAAGTCCCGCCACCAGCAGGGTTTGTTTAGGGGGGGGCAGCTTTGTTTTACAAATTTTTCAATGCTATCAAAAGAAGAGACGTGGTGGTGAGGTCAAAGTGGGTTAAGACCCAAAGTGGGTAGGTGAAGAACAATTAGATTATTGGTGGTTGTAGGTATGACACATTTGCAGAGCTTTGAATCTATGCCGCCAAAACATATACAGAATTGAAAATCAATGTTACCTCAACAAAAAATTGTAAAAAACCAAAAGTTAAAAAAAATTAAAAATTTCAGAGGTACTACTGGAGGAGAAACTGAAATAGCAGAAGGAAATGTGGTGAGATCTGTGTCCTCATTTTGTGTTACTAAGAGGAAGGTTTTAGGGCCCAACCTAGAAGTGCAATGGGTAAGGACGCAGCACTGTGAGCTAGCTCAGCAACTTCAGTGAGAGTTCGATCACCAGCCCTGGAAGTGATCCACATGGCACAGCAGACCTCTCCTGACCCACCCATTGCTCCCTTCAGCAGTATCCTTCCTTAATCAGCTTGCTCTGCTCCCCACTCTGTCTCTGGTGAATCCTCTCACTGTCCCTGCACCTCTGGCCTGTACCCCAGTTCTATATGCATAAATAAATAAATCTTAAAACGAAAAAAAAAGAGGAAGATTAAAAAAAAATTCATAGAAATATGCATGAAAATGGGTTGGAGCCTGAATTGAACCTCAATGCTGCTTGGAACTTTCTATCATTTTAGAAAGTCACAGCAAAGTACATTTTCTTTAAGTTGATTTACTAGTAGTAAGAAAAGAATTGAAAAAAGAGACTTCTCCTTAACTAAGACAATTTATTGTTTAAAGTCAATAATACATTATTCAGTTAAGCTAGTACATCCTACCAGGCTATTGCTTCTATATCTATTGAGCGATTTGGAAATACACTTCAAAAACAAAGATTCATGAAAAAGTAAGTCTATTACAGAGTAATGAAAATTTCTGTAATGAAAACTTGAAGAAAACTTTAAATTATGGTATTTAATAAAGACAAAACTGTAGTTATAAAAATTATATTTTACAAAAAAACATATTGACAAGGAAATGAAAATATTCAGTATGATGGAAAGTTAGGCTATAATGGTATATAAAGTGTGACCACAAATTTGCAAGAAAAAAAATGTGTCAATGTTGATTATTTCTGGGTGCTGGTAATAGAATTATGATTGACTTTATTGCCTGCAGTTGGCTTTGCATATTTCAGTTTCTAAAGTGATCACAGACTTTTATATATATAAAAAAATTCACTTAAAGCAGTTAGCTGCTAAGATTATTTAAAGCAGTTAGCTGCTAAGATTACTTGAGATCTTACAGTGGATTTTGTGGATTAAAGTCCTTAATCTTCAATTAATCTTTTGATTGGGACTAGTACTTATGCCTGATGCACTGTTTCCCTACATTCCCTAATTTAATTATCCCAAGGATACTAAGAGGTAGATGTGATTATTTTACAGATCTAAACAGAGACAGGAAAGATTAGATATTTTAACCTGTTGTAACACAGGTCCAGGGAAGTGGTGGAGAAAGAACTGGCTCTAAGTCAGTTTGGTTTCACTATTTCCACCATTTGAATCAATTATAGTGAAAACAAAACTTTCCAAAGACATCTTCACATATATTCTTCAAATAGTTTTCAAACTGTGATTAAAAGAATTACCTGGGAAGTCTGTTAAAAATATGGGAACAATAACAGAGAAAAAGGTAGGTAGATAGAGATATGTTTTTATAGCTCTATTCCAAACCTTCTAAATTAAAATGATCATGGGAGGCAGGGGCAGGCCTTGAAATTTTTAACAAGTGCACCATGTGAATCTACTATCAATCAAATTTGGGGAATTTTGTATTATCACATATAATTAGAAAGAATGAAGAAGACAATTTTACAGGAAACAGATTAGGAGACTAGCCTCAAATTAAATAGCTATAATAATGGAAAAGATAAGAAGCATACATTCAAAATATGTATTTCAAAAGTTCAAAATCAATCCACAAAGACATGAACTCACACAATCATCTTTGGCATATACATCATGGAGAACTGTGATCACACTAACTTAACCTTTTTCAGAATAAACAGTTAATGCCAATTGGTTAATCTGAATCTAGTTTATTTATATCAACAAAATCTAATAAATTGTGAAAATTTTTTAATGAAAAGAAGGACATGGGCATCATTATACAGAAGTAGGAACACCATAAGGCAAAATTCCTTTGATATCCCTACTGGCTATATTTCTCTTTCTTCAGACACTTTGTAACATCTTTTCTGTGACCCACTGTTGCTACTCTTAGCTGTTGTGAAGATAACATGCACCATAACATGCACCAGAGGGTTAAATTGCTTTAACTCATAAAGAAATCTGTATTGTAAAAGGACTCTCCAATGTGAAAAAACTTGCAAGGAGTTAAACTAAAATTACAGTCCAAGAAGTGGTGGAACAGGTATTTTCAGATAGTGGAAAGACACTGTCTTAGATTTTCCTCACATTACATTACTAATAATGATAATGGAGTATGGCTACATAAACAAGAGCTACAAATACATGTTTTGTGTCTTAGGAAAGAGTTCTTCAGATAAAAATCACCATGTCACTTCATTCCAGAAACTTCTGGGTTTCCGAAGCCACATAAACTCATTAACTTTCAGTTTTCAGTTTTTAGACACTGAAACAATCTGAGCGGCAACTAAAAATATTAAGTGTGGAAATAAAAATGCTCATTGTAACATCATTAAAAGATACAAATAAAAACCTAAAAATCACTGACAACTGGAGGATTCAGATATAACTGCCAATATCTTTACACTTTCCTTAATAAAAGTAATTATAGAGTAGCTAAAACTTCAGAGCTTTCTAGGTCCTAGTCCTCTTAGCATTTCACATCCCCACTTTACTGATGAGGAAATCCTGCTCAAAGAGCTTTAAAAAACTGCTCACAGACACACCGCTAAGTGGCTGAGCCAGTATTCAAACTCAATTTTCTGTGCTATCCCAAGACCTGTACTATCAACTCTACTGTTCAACAGCACTCATTGTTCTTTTTTTCCTCACATATGTATGCTAATTCCAACCAACCTAGTCTATTTGATGCCATCATCTTTTCATTATCCCTCACCTCTTTTTGTCATAACTCCCCACCTGCATAGTTTCTTTAGTCAACAATTATAATAATTCCACTGCACACACACCTATTCCTTGGCTTCTCTTTCTCTTTGGCACATGCTTCTGTCTAACCTCCAACTCTGGTCAAACCTACTCCATGACAGCACTTGTGCAGCTGAAGATGACTGAGAAAAATAACCACAGTCATGCCAATCAGACTCATCTTAAATTTATAAATGATAAACTCAAGTGGGATTTTAATAAGGCTATTCACAATCATGTAGTTCTCAGCTCATTGGCTTTCTTACTGTTTTAGAGGGCTGTTTTTGCAAATCTCTAAATAGCCTTCTTCCTTTGCACTCGTAGTTGATGATCTTGCTTCTTAATTCACTGAGAAATAAAGGAGACAGATAAATTCCACAAGGTCACATCATATAGTGTGCTTTGAATGCTTGCTGTTTTGGAGAAACTTTCTGTGCTCCTTCTAATGTGTTCCTAGTGATAATTCTACAGTCCCACACAATTCAGTCTCAGTCTGTCTGTGAGTCTGTATGGTTGGGCTATAATCTTCACAAGTGTCTTCATTTATCCCCCTTACATGACACAGGCTGGAGTTGGGTATTTCCCTCCTATCTGTCTTCTCCACCCACCCCCCTATTGACCCCAAATTTGGCTAGGTTGTGATAAAACACCAATGGGCTAGACTTATGTAAAATAGTTTTCTTTCTGGCAGGCCTTTGTGAGAATAAAATGATTACTTTTCCCCTCCCCACTAGGGAAGCAGGTTTTTCTTAGACCTTCATAGGGAGAACCTGGTGGGGGTCCTTTAGGCAAAGCATCAGGGCTAAGTCTTCATAATACTTTTTTTTCAAGCTACTCTATGCTTAGGTTCCAGTAGCTAGTGTCTGTGATTCTTTCAGTATTCCTAGCAGTGCTGGCTCCAATGGCGGTTTCTGCTCCAGGTTTGTTTCTAACAGTTTTTCAGGTTTGTTTCTATCAACAGTTTTTTAGGTCTCTGTGTTCTGTGATCTCCATTCTTTGATAAATATAAGAAGAGTTGCTGATTTTCAGTTTATTTTCATTTGGGAGTACAGTTCAAGCTGGTTGTTATAGCTGCAATTATTGGACTACTTTTGTAAGAGTGAATATACTCTATCAATGGAGTAAACATTTTTAAGATTTTTTATACATACTTCCAAACTTCCCTCTAAAGAAGATGTATCAAAATAATATAAACACATTTTTACCTTCTTATTTTCTGGTTCACAAACCTTTATTTCTACCTCATTGGTTAAGGATGAAGTCACCCATCTCCACTAAATACATATTTCTGTGTGGCTGAATATGGGTCACTAAAATCCTTTATGTAATCTGGCCCTCATACAGTTCTCAATTTGATCACTTATTATTTCCCAAAGTAATCTTTTGGTTCTAGTTCTAGTTCTAGCGACTAGTGAACTCGGTGCCCTCAGAACATATATAGATCATTTACTTTGTTTTTGTTCAAGTTACCCTACAATATTAGTAATGCTTTCCCCAACTCCTCAGTCTTTTTCAATCTCAATCTATATATATTTTTTTACTGTTCACCTTGCCTCAGCCCATTTTGCCTGCCCCATATATAGGTGGAACAAAGCAGAACTACTTCCAGCAATCCAAGAAGTTGTTATGAAACATTTTTATAGAACATTTATATAAGATAGGATACAGAGAACAAGGGCACAACTACTCTGTGACATGAAGGAGACTAGTTTAGGCAATAAAGCTAAGAATTTTTTATATCATTTGGAGTAGCAAAGTTGAGGGCATACAGAACATTATGAAATTAAGTGGGATTTTTGCTTCTTCCATTTTTCATTCTATTTTTTGTTTCAGAAATATATTTACATCAATGGTAGAAAGTGCAAGAAGAAAAAGAATGGGTGAAATATTAGTGAATTTTTGCCTTGCAGTCTATTTTTTCAGTCATGGCTCCATGACTTCATTATATGGCCCTCCTAATTAGTTTTGTATTGTGGCTAAATTTAAAACATCAATCCCACCAAAACGAACATCCTGAATAAGTTATTCTATTTATAATTAATAATATACTTAAGAGACATTTAAAAAATTCATCTTTTTTCCTGTCTCTTTAGAAAAACTCACAAACAAAACAAATAATTTTAATATAAATACATATATTTTTTGATAACTAAGCTTGTGTCACAAGGAATTAAAAGCTTAAGAAAGTAAATGGTAACTATAATAAAGATAATAAAACAAAAGTGGCTACGAATTCAGAAAAAAACAGGCTTTTTTTGTTTGATTTTTTTAACTTGAAAAACTTGAAAAAAAAAATCAACTCACGTTCCATTTGATCAAACATAACTGAAAAGAGGAAGTCTCGTGGTGTCATATAATACTCTCCTTCATGTTCCAGTGAAGAAAAGTGCATAAAGCGCTGTTTACGAAGAGATGATCTTCCCATCATTTTTTCATAGATATTTTTCTAAAAGAAAAAGATCATAATTTAAGAATTTTTACCCCAACTCTGTTTCTTCTAAAATAATCTCTTTCCCATCAAACTGTTATTGATTTGCCACTGGTTTACAAATATGTATATTTATTTTGGCATTTCAGCTTCATACCTCCATGTGTGCACATCCTTCACTTGCCCTCCGCCAGCGCACCCACTCCCACATACCACCTTGCCCCTCCATGTCTTCCTCACTCTCTTTCTGCTGTTCTGATGGACACCACCATAGTTTACACACAGCCTAAGAGTTATTTTTGTTTTGCCTTGCCAGTTTTTGTTGGTTATAAGATAATCTTGAAAGAGTGATTTTAGCCTTTAGGTCTAGCAACTTCCAAACTTTAAATCATTCATTTAACAAATATTTTGAGTGTCCTTCTTAGCACTGTTTTAGGTGTTGAAGATACAGTAGTGGATGAGACTAACTTAAAGGAACTTACATTCTAGGAATTGTGATAATTAATGGATATATAAAATAATGATGTGAGGAGTGCCATGAGAAATATAAAACAGGGTAGGTAAATTAAGAAATAAGGGCTAATATTTTAAATGGGATAACCATGGAAGGTCTTTAGGGAGGCAACATATAGAGAGACTAAATAAATTTCCTGGAGGAAGAGCAGCCTAAAGGAGAAGGAATGAAATACAGAACCAGAGGGGAAAATAAGGTTGGTGTGTTCAAGGAATAACAAGGCTAAACTTACCAGCATAATTAAGAAAGAGAGGGGCAGCAAGTAAGATCGGAGATATAGACACATAAAGATCACATAAAGTGCCTTTGTAAATATACCAAATGAGTTAACAAGTTCTGCTTTCAGAAATATACTTACATCATGGATAAAAGTGTTAAAGGGACAGGAGTAAGTACCATTAGTGTGAGTATGTAGCTCAGGCAGTGGGGCTTAAATCTTTACCCATAATAGGGTAGAGACAATATTGAAATCTTTACTATTAACCTTCACTGGGCACTCACTATGTGCTAGGCATTGTACTAATTAAACTTTACAGATTATTTAACCTTCACAATAATGTGAATAATAAATACTATAGTAGATACAGAAACTATAAATACTAGACCCAGGATAAAATGGTTGGATCCACAGACTGTGTCAGTATCTTAACTACCACACTATTCTTCTACCCATGACTGGACATTGTGTCTTAGGTCAAATAGAAGATAACACAGTTAACACAGACACCAACGTAAATGTAGTAATCTTGACACAGTATATGATTATTAGCTGAAAAATCGAACAAATGCTTTTACTCTGGATTGCTTTTATTAAGGTACTGCTTTGAGACTCTAAGAACAGTGAGAAACCACCTCCAAGTCATTGGGTAATGCCCACACCCAACTCGATACTGGACTCCTGGCCTCGGCTCCACTGATACCATTTGTGGGAAGAACAGGCAGCATATGGCCAGGTGCCAGCCAATAAACTTTCATAGGTAAACAATTCCTTTTAAATTCCTGTGTGTCTAGTTTGAATCTTATCCTGGATTTGTAAGCTTATGGGTGAGGGCTTACAAATCAGGTTGTACCTATTTCCCCCTAATTTGGCCCTACAACAAGACTACAATATCCTTCCTGGGCAAATCACTACTTCCCGTACTTACTACTGATCCTATTATTTACTCTGACACATGTGATGTTCAGTGAATGCAACTAGAACTGAAATGGGGGGGGGGGGAATTATGAATTACAGTTACTTAAATTTCTACAATTTCAAACCATCAACAGCCCTTCTGGCTGATCTCAATTCTCTGACTAGTACTACTTTCCTCTCCTTAATTTTGTAACTGGATTTTGTCCACAACCTGAGGCTTGAACTCTGTTAGAAAAGTTAAGCAGAATCAAATACTAAGCACCTTTTGTGCTCCCATTTCTCTACAACTCCCCCTTTTGATTTATTTTCCAACTGCATTCTTGGGAACTTTGTAAGCTAATTGTGTTTCATCTCTAACAAAATTCTCTGTTCATCTCTGAAGTTAATAGTATCAAGCAAGCATTGATACTGGTCTTTATCACCTGTTAACACTAAAGGAACACTCAGATGAAGATAAACCATGTAAATCATGAGAATTTATACCATGCAAGAGCCTCCCAGACCTAGAAAGGTGCTTATAATTTGACAACTGGGCTTCCTTGAATAGTTAATTTTATAGCTCTTTAGCTTTCCATAGTGCCTACAAGAATACTGGAATGCAAAGAATACATAATACCTAATAATACTTTAAGTATCTATACTTGGACTCTAAAACTGTCTATGCACTCTCTCCCTTTAAAGTACCAGAAAATAACATTATTTTATTTAACAAATGAGTGTTGAGTATCTGTAGGAAAATAGTGGCAAACAAGACAAACATTAATTCTTACCAAAATATACTAAGTGGTCTGGCAGTTAATTTGCACAAAATATATGGATGGGACATAAAAGTCTTCTCAATAAATGCCATGGCATTGGCATAGTATGTTAGAATGCAGTGTTAGAACTGAAAGAAGTTAGAGTTGCTTATACACTAGCTTAGAGAATATTTATATTTACTATATTAACATTAAGAGACTAACAAAAGTAAATAATCTATACAAAAATAAAGTATTTTCCCAAACCAAGTATTAAACAAATGTTGGCTTTTATACTTTCCAATATCTAATTTGTTTATGATTAGAAAAAAAACCAAAAATGGGGAATGGAATCAACAATGGGGGGGAGGGAGAGTGCACTGGTCTGTGCTGATGGCACATGGGTGATTTGGTGATGTAGAAGTCCATGGGGATTACAACTGAGATGGAAAAAGGCACAAAATTATGTAAAAATAAACTCATATTAAAATAAAATAAAAACCTAAAAATACAGTTTACCAAAAATTTAATCCTTTTTGTATATGTAAACAAATTTCAAACTTCAACCAACTAAAAGGGAGTCAATTATCCTATTATCCTTGAATTCAACTGGTCCCCTTTTACCATTTATCCTTGTCCTCTACTGGTCTCTTAACAAGATGAATCATCATTAATTCTCTTCTCTTTTGATCTCCATGTTGTCCTCTGTCTGGTAGCCATCTTACTTGGCCTGGTCCTAAAATACTAAAAATAACCAAGTAGGGTCTGCATGGTGGCCTAAGGATTAGGTCTCAGCACTATCACCACTTCAGCCTTAGTTTGATCTCCAGCTAGAGAGCTAAACCACCAATGGCATAGCAGGACATGATAGATCAAATTAAACCTTCCTTTCATGGACTGATTTCTGAACTTGAAGCTGGCATATGAATCATAGAACATGAATATATCCTATTCATATATCCAAATATATCCTATTGAAATAGTGTAGGTCCTCACTTGTGCACTTATAGGACATAACTCCAATTGGACTTATTAACAAGGGAAATTGAAATAATGATTTCTTAAGGTCACAAATGGCCATCTGTCCTATTCTAGATAGTATCCACCAACCAGCAGTCCAAACCAAAAGCTGCTAGTGAAATACAGTGTTAGTCCCTTTGATGTGAGCCTCGAGTTGGTGGCACACCTGTAAGAGATAGAATGGGGGACCAGACTCATGGTGGCAACTGGAGGTAGTCACAAACCAGCTGATACAGGTAGTCACTGGCACTGTTGATGCACTGTGCACTGCGGCTAGGCCAACAAGCACCAGTGCAGCAGGGGCCTAGACACAGTGGCACATCCCACAGCAACACTAGGTAACCACGTGACAAAGCTGTACCCACTAAGCACACATTAGTTCAGGGCAGAGGCCAAACTCAACCAGTGACACTGCCTGAAGGACTGACAGCCCTGCCCTTGGTGGGCAGGTGGGTATAGTCCACAAAAAAGTACATTCCTTGAATAACTAACTTGGGAAACCAGAGAGGACAGTGCTTTGGTACATCATAAGACATTTCTTACAAAACTCTCAGACCAGAATAGTTTATAGTGTTGCCTAAAACACAGCAACAGGAACAGAAAACCAGTGAAAATCGGGAAATAGAAGAACATGCCCCAAATGAAAGAGCAAAACAAAACTGGGAAAAGATCCCAAAGAAGCAGATATGGGCAAAATGCCTGAAGAATAACTCATTGAGTGATTATAAAGACGCTCATTGACTTCAGAAGAACAAATGAATCGGACTTTTAGCCCATATCTTATAGGATGACTACTTTTAGTTCTATTATTTGAGATATATATTTCAATATCTCCTGCTTTTGCAGCCCCCACTGTGTGGAATTGTGTCTTGTCGTCTCAGCCAGTAACAGGGAGGGGTCTCTTGCGGTGTTCAGCTTCTTCAGTAACACCTTGAGTCCTTGTCTTTGGAAGATGCCTGCTGTTTTTCTAGTCTTTGATGTCCCAGGTTCCCTCTATGCTTAGATGTGTCCATGGGGGGGTGGAGCATATTAGAAGTGTTGTAGGTGTCCCTACAGCTGGGCCTATGATTGAGTTGGTCACTGGTTTTGTTTAGTTTCTGAGTTCTGTGAACCTTTCTGGATCACAAGTCTTCAGGCCTCTCTGAATTGAATTGTCTCACCTTATCTCCAAGGTAGGCTTAAGGAAAGCCAGCCAAGTCCTTCTAAGGCACCTCCTAGTGCCTGGGCGCCAGGACACTCCGGGTACTAGCACCTGGGCGATCCTGGATCTGGGCTGTAGCCTTTCCCTGCAGTTTATATTCCACCCACCCCACTGTCCTGTCTCTCCTTATCTCCAGGGCAGGCTGAGGGGGTAAGGGAAGCAAGTCGCCTTCTGGTGCCTGGGCACTCCTGGATCGGTTTGGAGTTCCCCTGTCAGAACTCCCCAAATGCCGATTCTCCCTCAGTTATCTTCCTTCTAGTGAGTCCAGGGTGTTCTCATTTGGGCTGAAAGTCACAGTATGTAAGTCCACAGTCCATTTTCAGTTTATATTCCTGTGTGAGTTTAGACATAGTGATTTTGGCATCTTCACTCTGCTGCCATGTTGCCAGAACCTCTTCTATTTGTTATTCT